CTGCAAGCGAGACGGTGGGCGCGACAGCGGGCATGTGTGGTAGAGCGATGGGGGGAACAAAATATTACGCTTGTCGTTCCCCTTTTGGTATTTATTTACTTTACTCTATCGCGCAAAATCCCGTAGAAAAACGCTGACTGGTGAAGAAAAAATATTGAAGTGTCTTAAATTTCAGCTGCGATTACAGTTCTTGAAAGTCATATCAAAATACGTTGCAGGTTGTTTTTGTTTGATTTTAGGTGCATGCACAAAGTGGGACATCGTAAAGTCCGGCTCCAATGTATTTTGTTGCTGTTTCACTGATCACAGATGTTAAAAAAAAAGGTTAGCATAAATGTTACTGAAAAGGTTTTTTTTAACCTTGATTAGTATGAAAAGGTTCAAAAATATTATTTTTTTATTACTGGGTTGACATGTTTGTTTCAAGCAAAACAAGTTGCTGACAAGACACCAGCTTTTTGTTGATGAATTCCTAGTCTTAATAAGGTGGGACAAACAGTCATATATTTGTCAAGAGAAGGAGATTGAAACTTAATCCAAAACAATATTTGCAGAGGACATTGTCAGACACAAAAGATTAATAGCGTGTAAGTTCAACTGCACTTTACAAGAAGATCGGGATGAAGGAGGCACCGCTGAGGAAGTATGCGTGGTTAACGGCGTCAAACAGTGTGTCGCAACCGTAGCATCAAGTTTTGTTCCAATCGGCAGAAGTCCAGTTCAAGGGGTCCTGAGGCGCATTAAAACTTGCAAAATAATTTATTACCGCGTCATTCTCCCCTGACCCGCACCACGGCTCTAACCCTGTCTGGTAAGAAATCATAAAGCGCGGCCACGAAGTCTCGCTCAGCCCCGAAGCCACTCCCATTCACCTCTGATTGCTTTCAACAATTTGTAGGCAGTGGCGTGGTGGAGGGGACGCCGTGACATAGCTACCTTGATGCGCCTCCAAATGTTTTCGATGATATTGAGATCGGCTCCTTCTAGGGGCCAAGGCAGCTTCGTCAGGCAGCGCTCCTTGGGGAGATACGAGCGTGACAGCGCATTTTCCACTTCGGCGCTTTCTTGAAATCCACTGAAATGCATGTTAGCTGAAAACGTGAACATCGGGCTAGCAGATGGAGGGAAGAGCGCAGTGGCGCAGTGAGCGCAAGTGATAATTTATCTCGGCCTCAGGGTGCGCCGTGTTTAGGGAGCGATGCGACAGGCGGCGCAGGTAGTACCGTGCACAGGCCGGAGCGCTGTTTCAGCTCATATTGTCCGCGATAGTACGTGCGTTGTCCGCGGTCGGCGGCGTCGGTAGCTTCAACGAACCGCTAGAAAAAAAAAAAAAAAACGAATGTTGAATTTACATGGATAAATAACTTGAGCAAACTATTTAGAATCGGGCGGTAACTTGCGCCACCTATCGAGATTTCTAGCAGCCTGTTTTTTATAAAAAGACGAGTCTGTTAACACGGCGAACGACCACGACTACACAGCAACCCTACATGCAACGCAGGCAACACAGCACAGACATGTACATAAACACACCAACCGACACTACGCCCGACACTTCCTACTCGATATCCATTTCTCCCCGCGGCGCATATAAGCTTGACATGTGCGGGTGAGCTCTTTGGTCGCTGGCCATTACAGATTTATAGAAGAATACACAAAACACGGCGCAATGGACAGCCGTGTGTTTGAACTGTTTGCATTTAAAAAGTATGGAGGCAAAATCTATAATGTTAGTCCGTTGCAATAAATAACGATATGTTAACAATAAATCTTAAACCGGTCGTGAAAAAGTTCAAATTTTTGTTATTTTCTTGCTTGACCAGTGTTATGAGCAGTCGGACTAGCTTGAATCAGATAGGAAAACAAATTATTGGGATTTTGTCATTACGTATACAAAAATAAATGAAAATGATCCTTGCGCAAAGCATTTTTTATATATTTTTGTGAAGGACATCCGGACATCCGCCCAACACTTCACTTCCGCTAGTTGCAGCAGTTGCAGTACGGGAGCAGACGCCTTCACTTTTGGGGCGTTTTGATGCAGTTTGTTGTCGTATGTCGTGTCGGTGTCGAGAAGAGCGGTGGGGCTTGGGAGTTTGTGACCGGTGTTATTCGTGAACACTGGTGTGGGGCGCTGATGTGTCTTTTTTATACTGCCACCCCGAACTTTGAGGATACACGGGCCCGTAGCAGTGCATTATGCTAAATCGCAAGCTCCTTGTCTGTTGACGTCGCTTTCCTGGTACCACTCGTGGATACTGCAAGCGTTTAGACAGTGTGCACTGTCTCGCCTACATCCCCGGTGACGTACTCGACCTGTTGAAACTTATTGCTTCCGTCATTTTAGAGTACGCAAGGCAGTTATCTCGTTGGTCTGGTTTCGGTTATAAAAGCAAGGCAAAACGCTCGTAGTTCCCGCCCTCAGTACACGTTGGACATCTTCCACACTTTGACACCGGATAACTGAATGAACGAGGATTTACATTCACTTCCGAGGTTACTCTCGCCGCTTCCTCACCGTTGAGCAGCAGGATGAGCTGGCGACAAGCCGCGGATGAAAGGCTTGAGCATCTACAGCCCAAGCGCACTCGGTGCCGATGCGGGCGACGCGGGTTTCTGTCAACCGGGAGGCCAGCACAAACCGTGACCGTTCCAGCTCTTCGTCATGACACGGTGTTGCAGAGAGCAGGGTAAAATACAGCTACACGAATCACCGAAGCAAACGACTGCTATCTTAAATCTTGGCTTGTGATTGCGCCTTTGTAGTAGATCATCTTATTCGTTTTGCTGGAGAGACGCAAACGACGGGCATAACAAAATCGCTTGCATATTCCGCATATCTCACAAAAGCATTTACCCTGTCACCTTGCGAAAAAGCGCGAAACACGGAGTCCGCACCGTCCTAAGCTTCCCGTTTTTTACCTGCTTTAGAGCAGTTTGTACCTGCTAGTAGATATGCCTACTGAAACTGAAACAGGGCAGTGCCAGAGAGAAAGAGACAAAGTTGGGAAAGCTTGCTCGCTCTCAAATTTCTCAACTCTCAACGTTCACAACATAAAAAATGGTCTCAGTACATGCATCTCTGGGCAGGTAGGAAACCGTGCCCTAATTTATTCACGCCGCATGATTGGCGCAACAAACTCGTTGCAGGACCAAATCATCTACTCGAGCGGTGTGCGTCGCCATGCAAACGCAGTCCAACACGAAGCATAAAAAACGGCAAATGTAAGACAACAATCCGGAGTCCATTATTCAATTAAAACGACGTAATTTTGTTGAAAACGCCCGCTGCTTCTTACTCACGGTATGCGTCGGGATACTTCCACAGTTTGAAACGGAACGCAAGAAGATTTACTTTTAAAAACGCTCGCTGCGTCCTCCCGGACCAGCTGGACCGGATCAGCTGACAACGACGGGAGTGTACCCGTTGAACCTCCACCACGCAACAAACAATTTGCGCTCCGTGTTAAAAGCGTTGTTCAAAAAGACCCGGAATACAAAGCACCGCACCACACACGACGAATGTTTCAGCTCTTTTTCGCATGGCCGGGTTGCACCAAACAGAACGAGATCGCCGAAGTCAACGCCGCGCTGTCGTGAACCTTGGCTTGTGGTTGCGAACTCGTGGACCCTGTGACTCCCTTCGCTTTTTATTTATTTATTTATTTATTTATTACATACTGCAGGCCTTTTGATAGGCCCTTGCAGGTGTGGGGTACAAAAGACTTGTAAACCATCATTACACATGGCTTTCATGATGTTTCGCAACTAACACTCTCATAACTAATAATCAACGGGGAAAAAAGTTTGTACAACATATGTTCAAAAAGGTTCACAACACAAGAGCACAATGGCAATACCTAAAAAGGATGATCATCAAGTGCTTTATTAAAATTAGGGGCTATGAATATATTGTAAGGGAGGGCGTTCCAATCTGATATGGTGCGTGGAAAATATGAAAACTTAAAAATGTTGGTTCGAGCAAATATTGGTTGAAGAGAAAACTGATGGTGGTTCCTAGTGGCTCTGGAAGATAAGGAGGTTATATATAAACTTGAGTCGACGCACAGCTTGTTGTTATAAAGTAAATACAAGAACTTCAGTCTTGCAATTTTCCTACGCTGTTCCAGGGACGTGATATTGTTTGCCGCTATTAAGGAGGATGGGGAGTCAAGTCTCTTGTACATTCCATAAATAAAACGAACTGCTCTCCTTTGGACCATCTCAAGTTTTGATGAATCTTTTTTCGTGTTTGGATCCCAGATTATATTAGCATATTCTATTTTTGACCTTACGAAGGAGTTATAAGCTTGGAGTTTAACGGAGGTTGGAGCATTTTTTAACTTGCGTCGTAGGAAACCTAATTTTCGAAAAGCCGAGGAACTGATGTTTTGGATATGCTTTGACCATCGTAGATCGCTTGTTAGGGTTACTCCAAGATATTTGTATTCACTTACTTCGGTTACTGCAACATTATTTACTTGATATGTGAATTTCAAAGGTTTAATTTTCCTCGTCATGCGTAAGTGAACAGTCTTCGCGGAATTCAGTTGCATTTCCCATTCGTTACACCAATCGTCGACTAGAGAAAGAGAAGAATTAAGCGTTTTTTGGTCACCAACAGAGGATATGGTTTTAAACAAAACACAATCGTCTGCAAATAAGCGGATATTAACGTTAGTACTCACAGTTGATACAATGTCATTTATATAGACCAGAAATAGCAGGGGACCTATTACACTACCTTGGGGAACACCAGAAGAAACATCGAGGGTACCGGAAAAATGGCCACCAACTTCAACAAACTGGCTACGATTGAACAAATAGGATCCTATCCAGTTAACTATCTCTGGTGGTAGCCCAAGACGCTCTAGTTTAAAAATAAGTTTACCATGAGGGACCTTATCGAATGCTTTACAAAAATCTAAAAAAATAATATCGACCTGTCCAGACTTGTCTAGGGTAGCAGCAAAGTCATGGACTGTGGTTACTAGTTGCGTAATTGTGGAGTACCCCCTCCGGAAACCATGTTGAAAAGAAGTCAGCAAACTCCTCTCTTCCAAGAAATTTCGAATATAACTACTAACCATATGTTCCATAAGTTTGCATGAGTTGCTAGTGATAGAAATAGGACGAAAATTGCTTACAACAGAATGATCATCCTTCTTATGAATTGGCACTACACGCGCTGTTCGCCAGTCATTCGGAAGCACACTTGAACGAAAAGAAGCACGAAAAATGATTGTTAAAAAGCGTGAAATAGATTCGGCATATCTACGGAGGAAAGCGTTCGGTATCTTATCAGGCCCACTGCTCGATTTTGTATTCAGATTTAATAACATGACAAAGACACCACGAAAGGAGATAAAATCGGCGTTCAGTGTAGCTATAGCGGTGGCAACTGGAGTGTACATATCTGTACATGAGAACACAGATTGAAAATATAGGTTAAATTCTTCGGCGATTTGTTTTTTGTCACTGATTGTGATATTGTTAACTTTTAGCTGGTCGACCGGTTTAGCTTTTTCTGAAAGATAGTTCCAAAACTTTGCAGGATCATGTTTTATGAAGTTTAAAAGGGTGCACGAAAAATATTTATCTCTTGCTTCTTTAACTTGACTAGCCAGTTCAGCTTGTAGGGGATGTACAGCTCCCTTGTTGGAACTGTTCTTTTTATACCTTTTTATTTTGCGTCTAAGATGAATTATATTTCGGTTAATCCAAGGATTTCTTCGTCCCGTGCATTTACGTCGACTAGGAATAAAGTTCTCCAAGCAATAGTTACATATAGAAACGAACTTGTCCCATAGCAAAATCACATCATCTTCAACGAAGTCACTGAAACAGTAGTCGAGATAATCCAAAACACTCTCGTCATTAGGCTTCGAAAAATCCTTTACCATAGTAACTACTTTTTTCTTTGGCGAAGGTCGGTTAAGATAGCAATCAAATAGTACAAGTTTGTGATCAGACTTGCTTTCCTCAAGTCTTACGCTATAATCAGCGAATGCACTACTAACAAATATAAGGTAAAGAATTGAGCGGCTCGAGCCCTGCTCACGTGTAAATCCCTTAACAACCTGGGAAATATCACATGCGAACATTATGTCAAAAATAATCTCGTCATCACATGGGCTAGATAATCGCAACCAGTCGATATGGGGGAGATTAAAGTCCCCAACCAGAAGAATTGATTCACCCTTGTATTTTATTAAACAATCATAAAGTCGATTTAAATAATCTGGACTAGCAGAAGGAGGCCTATACACAGCACAAAGGAGAACTTTTCGACCCCAGATATCGAGACGTAAAATTAAACTTTCATGATTACTAATCTGTTCTAATGTTGTTACACAAATGGATGACTTGATTACGACTGCAATTCCGCCACCACGAGACGGGCGGTCCCGACGAAAAACTTGGTGGGATTCAGGAAAAATTTCATTATCTGACATATTTTTATTCAGCCACGTTTCTGTAATGACCGTGACATGGGGGTCATGATTCAAAAGAACTAATTCGAACCAGTCAGTTTTATTGACAATGCTTTGTGCGTTCATGTTTAGTAGACGAAACTGTTTGTTTACAGGAGGTAATTCTTGTCAAACATTTACAGGCTGTTCATTGGAAGGGGATAACTTGACGCGCTCATTTGTAAATTCATTCCATTCATACAGATCATTGGCAACTCGAAGTTTGTCATTCACAAGGAAAACCTTTAGTTTGTTCTTTCTATCTTCGCTTGAACTGTTCCATAGTAGCCTCCTTTTGTTAAGGGTTTCTTGGGAATAATCGTTTTGAATGTAAATGTTTGTGCCTTTAAGTTTCTTTGTATTTCGCAGGATTTCTAACTTTTCATTGTAGTCCTGAAGATAAAGAATGATCGGCCGCCTTCCCACGTGTTTACCAAGGCGATGAATCCTCGCTACAGAAGTGCAAGTAACGTCCAGCCGCCTTAAGAAAATATTATCAATTACTTTTCCACTCAAATCTCGCTCGGTCTCCTCTGATTCGTCTGGAATTTCAAAGATTACAAGATTTGAACGTCGACTCCGATCTTCCAAATTGGCCAACCGAGAAGTTTGTTTTGCTATTGTCAGCTCGAGTGCGCTGACAGTTTGTTTAAGAGCGTCGACCTCAAGGGATTTAGCTCGTAACTCAAGTAATACTTTGTCAACACCTGCAATTTTCGATAAGACTTCGGCAATCGATTTGTCGGTACCGGATTGTTTTATAACTAAATCGGAAACTTCCTTTTTAATTTCGGCTTGACCCTCCATTATCGAACGAAACATCTCTTCAGTTGTCGGTCCCGGGTTAGTCTCAACATCACCGCATAATAACAGCTTACATACTTCGAAGCAATCAACTGCAATTTCACATAGTGACCGTGGGCCCGGCACAACAATTAGAGAAACAAAATCGCTCTCAAAGCATGATACAGGGTGACTAACCTGTACGAAAATCATGGTAAGCCACATGCTGTTGATGGCCTCGCCGTGCCCACTGGTGAAGAAGTCTTGAGGATCCTCCTTTATAGACGCTGCACAACTTGACGTCACTAACCCGGATGAAGCAGGGGGCGTTGTGAAGACGATAACACTTGGTTGCAGCCGATGACTTCCGTAATCCGAGCGATGACTGTCAGATGCCGGAACCTGGAAGGCCGGGATTTCGGCAACGTTGATTGTTGGCGCTGCTCCCAACAGGCAAGGCAGTGCCTGTACGAAAATCATGGTAAGCCACATGCTGTTGATGGCCTCGCCGTGCCCACTGGTGAAGAAGTCTTGAGGATCCTCCTTTATAGACGCTGCACAACTTGACGTCACTAACCCGGATGAAGCAGGGGGCGTTGTGAAGACGATAACACTTGGTTGCAGCCGATGACTTCCGTAATCCGAGCGATGACTGTCAGATGCCGGAACCTGGAAGGCCGGGATTTCGGCAACGTTGATTGTTGGCGCTGCTCCCAACAGGCAAGGCAGTGCCTGTACGAAAATCATGGTAAGCCACATGCTGTTGATGGCCTCGCCGTGCCCACTCAAAGCACACACGACGATTACGAATGCTGCTTTCCGTCTTCCAGGAACATCACAGGGGCACTTCTCCGGTCACGTCTTCACTATGTGCTCGCAAACTCCGAAGCTCTATGCGAAGCTTCTCGCGTCCCGTCAAACCAAAACAGTAGCGGCGCCATGCCTTGCCAGATTTTCTCCGGTCAAACAAAAACAACGAAAGCCAACCGGCGCTTGCTTCCAGCGTACATCGGCGTTGCGCTTGCGCCGTGGCCAGATCGCTTGCAGTTGAAGGTTGAAGCAAAAACGAAACCAACTGCAATGTCACGTGTTCACGTCGAGGACACGCTTTTTGTATCCATTTTAACTGTTTGGAACGAATAATTAGACCCATGACTTTATTTGTGGTGTCTAAGAAACTGTTATCAGGACCCCTAAACTAAATACAAACATGGGCGACATGAGGGAAGCCGCATTGCCATCGACCAGAAGATGGCGGCGAGCACGGTAAGCGCGGGTTTCGCCAACGTCCTGCGACATGGCGCAATTGCGTTTGGTGCATATCTGTCTCCGAGACATGTTTCTTTCCGCGGCATTTGTCTCGACGGTCCTTTCTAAGTGTGTCCCCGAGCATTCCGGTGCTTCGATAGCCGGCAATGCCGCGGTCGTCGCCGGGGGCGATGCGTGTTATCGAGGTCGGCTACACGGTTATGCGTGTATGACCGAACCAAAACACGTTTTTTACAACCTCGCATGATTTCTCAACGAATTATCCGTTACTCATCGTGTAAATTTATGGTAATTTGTGTAAATAGCGTGTTTTTCACCCCAAATATTCGTCAAATACACGGGACTTGCTAACAGTGCATGAAGAGGCTTAGCATGGAGCCGATCGCAGCGTTCGCGCACATCGCCAGCTGTGAACATTTTCGCTATCCACTCCTTCAGTTGCACGGCGATCACGGTCGTCTGCGGTAACTCTCGGAAAAAATTACCGAGCTTAACACAGCGTTATTTCACGTAACACTGAACTTCGCGAACGCCGCGTCGCCCATGCTGCACAAGTGCTGGTGAGCACCACCTTGAAACTGGAAGCCATGCTGGGCCCGAGTCTCAAGGCCTCTCGAGCGCTTCCCGCGAATCCCACTAACCCGCTGCGCAAAATCCACAGTGTTGAGGTGCGCACGCAATACCGACTTACACTGCTGGATAGACATTTAACAGGAATTCGCCTATGCCCTAAAGTGCACTTTGACTACCCCATAGAATTCCGCTCCACGATTTCAAGAGCTTGCGGGCTTTACTCATGTCCTAATCATTTCACCATCCTCCTACTCAGCCGATAGTTTCAGTCCACCTTTGTCTGCAGCTGCATACTACTGACTCGCCGTCGAAAAGGGGCACATATTTTCTCCCATAACATAACCGATCTCATTCACTTGCCTGTAAATCACGTCCAGCTAGAATGAATTCACTGGTTGGGGAGACAGCTTCTTTCCTAAAGAAATAAAGAAACATATTATGTAAGGCTCTCATATCAAGTATACAAGATGTAACCACAGAGTGAATATTATCTAAGCTGCTCGCTGACAGCATCTTTAGGCAGGAGACTTCTGAAGAAACTTATAAAATATTTGACTTCATTTCATGAATATCACAAACAAAGAAGTTACAGCTTCAAGTTTATTAACATCAGCCGAAATAATCAAAGATTAATTTATAAAAATTAAAATTTCAGTGAGAGCTCTCTTGATGACAGAGGGTGACGAAACTGCCTCTCTCCGTCAACCATATGTGACAATTCCAGTGCATCATGCACAACATGATCTGGACGTGTTAGCGCTCGTAAAAGTTTGAGGAGGTAAACATAGCTGCAAAAACTAGGATGCCTGGTGGGTGGATCCTGGTTGCGATGACCGTAAGCATGGGCACCGTACCCAACGCCCCATCAGCTAGCGGTGCCCATTAACACACCCTTTGTAGAAACATGTAAGCGAAACAAAATAACGTCTTACACAGCCAAAAAAGTGCTCAGGCCAGGCCGCATAGTTTACAGTTTACATTTTAGGGGGAGCACTTAGCCAACGCCCCATAGTTTGCAATAAGGAAATGTTGCTGATCACTTACATAATTTGACCACCGCTTCAATTCGCTGTTTTTTGTGTTTTTTTTTTTTTTTGCACTTTTGGATTTGCAAGTGTTCTTTTTGTGATTAGTGTCCCGTGAAAAGATTTTATGAGGATTTTAAACTTGCCCTTTGGAGGTGGACGCTACACCGGACTCGGAATCTCACTCGAATACCTGTTCATGCTTGTTGAATCTCGATAAGCGTATGTCTCACGTCTTCTTTGAATTGTAATTCAAGCTTCCCAAGAGTTTTTATACTGAAGGGGACGTTGAAGCACACATGGCGCGATATGTGGCCAAAACCATAAAACGCAAATAAACAAAAAAACAAACAAAAAAAAAACAAGCGCCATGAGCCACCGCTCAAATGAGCCGATTTCGCCAGACGGAAAAGCGAATTTGTCTAGAAAACCCGTAGAACGTTAGTTTCGAAACCTGTGCATCCGTATCTTTACCGATTTGTCTTTCGGAAAAAGAAAACCTGCCATAAAGAAAACTTAAAGAGGCAAATTCCTTTTCAAATGGGAAACACTTTTTGATAGCACACGTGTCGCCTAATCTCGCTCCCAGGTGAGGAGCACCGCGATTGCTCGCGACTTGAATGGGACTTGAAGAAGGAAGTTTACGGGAGCATGTCTCAAACGTAAAAGCCAGCTTGGACGTTTTCAAGTAGAACTTCGGGATGAGGCGAACTTCAGCAAGTCAAAGTTCGGCTTCAGATGAAATAACATCTGCGAGTTCGGGGGTAAGACTGAAGATACTTGCGCAGCAACGGTTTTAAATGTTTTTTGCGTATATTATTAGAAACGTGCTTCATAGTGGAAAAAAACAACAACATTAAATATTACTTTAAAAAACTACCTCGACGCTCTAAAATAAAAAGTTCGGAGTGAATAAAAAAAAAATATTGATTCATAAAAAGTCGATTTTAATGTAAACAATATAGCTAAGGCACTATTAGGCACCAACCCCTTAATTAGCCCCATCAGCTGAAAATATCCCCACCACAAACACAAAAAAGGAGCGCTACTTCCCTGTAAACTTGTTTCAGCGATCAGGTGTATAATAAGAATATTTAGATATGATCTCACTTTTAGCTTTCAGCGATAAAAATGTTAACTTGTTCCGCGCAGGCCATAGAACATCTCGCATATGTTTACGCCCAATTTAAAATATGCAAACTGGCACAACTGTTCGTGCGCCCCAATGAGTCTATCCACAAAGAGATGGCGAGAGTAATTTTACTAGTGGAATAACTTCAAGCTTTCAGTATATTGCTGCAATTACATTAAAACCCTAGGCGGAGAAAGTCGGCACACACCGACACAGCGGTAAATGAAGGCTTTCAACGAAACTACTCCCAGCGCGAATAAACGCGGTTGTTCTGATAGAGAAGATATACACGCAGGGTTTTGGTGCAACCTACAAGTGCGCTACATTGATGCAAAGACTAACCTTAAGAACAATCCTCGGAAAGTCTATGAGATAAACAAAACTCTGTTACTGCCGAGCTAGGAAAGTTATAATAGTGTCCCTGGTTGACTTATATGACCCACGGACTGCCAGAAATGTTGTCATTATTACAAGCAACGATGTTCCTGCTTCTTCTCTTGGAGGAACCTGGCTTCTCGGACAGTTGGAAGTCTGAAGACAGTGTCATGAAGACCATCGAAGACCTACCCAAGGATTTCCTTCTCGCATTTGAGTTGGGCAACGGCTTCATGGACCTCTTTGTTCCTATAGAGTGCCTCAAGGAAAATACTGCGATGTTCAAGGCTTTTCTTCACTCCCGCGCGAAACCAGTCACATTGTGGAGTGACGCCAGGATGCACATCAGTCAATGCAGATACAATATCTGCTACAGATTAAGGATGTCATTTTTTCAAATAGTTTACTTTATATGCGGCAAATATGATATTCGTCGAAGTCTTCATAACTTCCCAACAGATTACTTCATGTCTACTTTTGTCGTCGATGAATCCGTAAAACATCCCTGGGAAGCTCTTCGCAATGTTCTTAGAGTACCATTTCTACCACCGTACCCTAGAGCAAGTGGGAGATATGCAATCAGCAGCGAGAACGGCAGTCTCTTCTTGACTAGCGAGTTTGAAAGAAAACTAATCGAACACCTGACGCTTACTAGTGGTTTATTGTTAGAACGGCAAAGGACGCTAACTGGGAGCTACATTCACCTGGTATGTGCAAGCATTTACGCCTGCCAGCACCCAAGCTTCAACGTTACATTAAAGCTGTTGATGCACCGCAACGCTTCAGTTAGAGTTGACCGTGACTATGACACTGATGAGCTGTGGTCCAGCTCATATATAAATAGTTTAAACAATCGGGCAGACAGGGACGCGCATGCCCTTTTTCACGCACTTTATCATCACGTATCGGTCGGTTTTTCATTTTACGTTCGCAAGCGGGATCAGGTTTCCAAGGAGACAATCTTTATCTTGCCATTTTTAAACGAGGTATGGTTGGGACTTATCGCGTCCTGTTTGTTTCTCGTCTTGACGTATGGCCTTATCGCGAAGGTTACGCTGAAGGCGAATGTTGATATTCTAGTCTTCGTAATCCCCATGGTGGCGGCCTTCTTTCAGCAGAGCACGCAGCTCCACAGATGCCTACTAAACACGTCTCCATCCCGAATGTTGTACGGCACAATGGCCTTAATGTTTTTCGTGATGTCGACAGCATTCAAAGGTCGTCTCACTTCACTTCTGAACGACCTTCCGCTCGATGGAGAACCTACTCAGTTCGTGTCATTTGAGCATCTAGCCCGAACAGGGCAACGTCTTTGCATCCTTGAAGATCCGGGCATCCTTGGTGCATATGGGTCTCTTTTGATCTTCAAGAGGAATGGCCCAATAAAGCAAGGATCTAAATGCT